GTTTGCTAAAATCTTTGCGTACAGTTTATTGTCCATATTAAGTAGGGAGATGGGGCAGAAGTTTTTACAACTGTCGGTCGGTTTACCGGGTTTTGGTAGGGTCACTATAGTGGCCAGTAGCATTTCCGTCGGCAGTGCTCCCCTCTCCATTGCCTGGTGGAAGGTCTCCAACAGGTGTGGAGCTAACGTCGAGGCATATTTTTTATAGTATAGATTAGAGAGCCCATCCGCCCCAGGGGATTTGCCGCTTTCTTTGTCCCGTCCTCCCCTAGTATGTGTGCTATCCTATTAGTCGATAGTTTGTCTCGCAACTGTGCTGCCAGGTATTTGTTAGCTTTCCCACTGGAGTGGTAACTATTAGCTTTTAGTCTATTCAATAAGTACGCGGTTTTCATTGCGTTCAGTGTGTGTAATTTGTGGTAAGCTTGCTGGATTTCCGCAGAAAGTTCCCTTGTGGGGTTGGTTTTATTTCTGTCTCACAGTTCCGCGATTTGTTTATAGCACCGGAGGAGCTCTCCCTGTCTCTGCCTTTTTAGGTATGCGGATCGCTTAATGAATAAGCCTCGGACGACCGCCTTATAGGCCAGCCAAACCGAGGTTTTTGATACATCTCCCCCGCTATTGAGGCGGAAGTAGTGGTCTAATTCGTCTTTTACAATGCCGGCAATGGAATCATCAGAGAGCAGTGACTCATTAAGCTTCCAAGTCCCTTTCCCCCTGAATTGGAAAGTGTCATGCAATGTAATATAGACTGGGCATTGGTCTGACCAAGCAAATTATCCTATTTTGCAGTCTACCATTTGGGCTAGGGACGTGCTATGAAGCAGGAATGCATCTGTAACGGACCGTTTTGCCCACAAGAGGTTAAAAACCGTTTAGGCGATATTCCCCTTTCAGATGCACAGACAGCTACTGCAATCACCAATCTCCCGAACTGCAAACTACACAAATTCTCCAACTCCCGAATACTGGAAACAGCTGAACAGGAAAAACCATATGAAAGGTTTACACTCCTGGCAGTTAGCATACAGTCCAATTCCCCCAATAACGAGATGATACTTCATTTGAGGGTTAAGCAGAATCTGTTTACTGGCCCCAAGAGAACCTTCTTTTATACAGGTTTCCCTTAGATAGGACCGCCCACAGGGTTTTACAAAACAACCAATCATACACGTACATTACAGAAACACTCCCAGCAATTACATGCAAAAATCCTCCCCTCTGCCTGTGATCTAATTATGGCACACAATGGTTTAACATAATTAACACAGGCAGTAAAAATACAGTTTTTACACATATCCTGTAACTTTAAAACCACACATACAATCTCCATAAATTACATATTTAGAATCAGCAACCTTTAAATATAAACATAACCAAAAATCAGCCAAATTGGTCCATTGGTTCAAAAGATAGATCGAAGTCCTTTGTGACCAAATTAAGCATGGCTTTTCTGCCCAAAACCAGTTCCACAGAGTCTTCTATCCTGGAGATAATTGGGAAGTAATCCAATTATCTCCAAGGACAGAGGCAAAACTCAATTGAACACATGGCAGCAAAAGACAATAAAACACATAAAAACATATAACTGTGCAGCCATTGCACAAAACAGGTACATTCAACATATCCCCAGATAGCTCAGATCTGAGCGCACATTATTACTGAATGGCGCTCAGAGCATACACATACTGTTCAATTGCCATGGAGCCAAAGTCTTTCCCATAGTCTTTCATTATACGAATGGGCTCCATGGCATAGCTATCTGAGGTATCACCGCTCAAACAGGGCAATCACCGAATGACCCGGCTTTTGTGTCTTCGCAGAAGAAAATCAAGCGTTTCAACATGGGGCCATAGTCTGAAGGCAGCAGGCGGGCAACCAAGCTTCTCCAGTGCATAGTGGCGAGGTTGGTTCCGCCACAGCATCTACGCGGGAATAGGTGTTGTGTACCGCGGAGTGGAACGTATAGTCCCTCTCCGTAGGGTTTGTGGTTCTCCAGCCATCGTAGAGACCATGTTTCGAGATGAGGGCAGTGAGACTTTTGCAGGTGTTGGATAGATGCCTACTCCTATTGCGGGATGGCTTAGCCGATGTGTCCAACTGCGGTGATTGGATAAAGTTAAAATCCCCACACAGAATAAGGCCTCCCTGGCGGTGGTCCTCCACTATCTGGAGAAGTTTGGTTAGGAAGTTTGCCGAGTCAGAGTTAGGAAAGTAGGCCGTAACCAGTGTGTATTGTGTTGCATTAAAAAGGCCCACTAATATAATAAATCTCCCTTGCGGGTCTATGTATTGTCTCTGAACAGTCAGGGCTATGTCTCTGCTGATGAGAATCGACACCCCTTTTGTCTTGTTAGCGGATTTAGCGTGGAATTGGGTGGGGTAGTGTTTATTAAATAACCTTGGTTCCATTGATGACTTAAAATGGGTCTCCTGGATACATGATATATCAATATGTTGTTGTTGCAGAGTCTGAAATAATAGGTTCCTTTTATTTGGGGAATTAAGCCCCTTTACATTATAGGAGACTACTTTCATAAAAGTGTGCTTAGGTACCGGGTAATTGCTGACTCACGTTTCCTAGTGGTACAGAGTGTATGCCATTGTGGGGTGCAGAAGTCGTAGAACACATCATTGCTCAACTTTCTAATGGTTGCTGCGTTGGGGATCCCAACGGTGTGGTTGATCGAAATCAAACTTGGCGGAGGGAGGGGGGGTTGAAAGTAAGGGTAGTGTAGAAAAACAATGAGAAACACGTTACAAGGAGCTCAAACCTCTTGAGCTATATCGTGTCTAGGTACACTAGTCACAGGTAGTGGGTGACGTGGCCCTTGGTCAGTCTGATGTGGTGCCGACCGTATCTGGGGGGGGGAAGGGAGCCACGCATGGGAGATAGTGGTTTGGTTAGTGGCAAGTTGGTGCGGGAATGGAAAAACCTTGTTACATGAAGCCCAACCAATATGCACTAATGCCTCGCCCCCACTGTCCCCGGTTTGTGATAAAGGGTGGTGTGTCCTGAATTGTGATTGCCAATGGGCAGCGTCGATTCTAGCCGTCAACTAATAAGTTGTTGCGGTTACCTTATAGGTTAGATATGGCACACAATGAAAATACACTTAAACGTACATCCCCCTTACTAGTGGCCGTAGGACCAGGCTAGGCAATTAACAAAGGCATAACATATGAACATATTTGGAACGGTTAGTGAGAGATTGGTCTAGCAATCATGTAGTATATACTCAGCCTCCAAGTTAGGCCGTGGACCAGTCTGCGGACAGTCTGGGTATCTTTGCCGCAGATTGCACTTGCATGTCTGGTTTAGGAAGTCCCCAATCCGCCAGTTTCTTCATGCCCTCCTCCGCGGATGCGATGGGGTGGTTGGAGTTGTCATGATGGATGATGAGTTTAGCCGTGAAGCCCCAACGGTACGGAACCTCGTGTGCCCTCAGTGCGGTGGTGATAGTGGTAATTTTCTTCCTGGGCTACCATACGGTCTCAAAGGCAACGTACCCAATTTCACTGTGAAAAAACTGAAACGCAAGCCTCATATTTGACTCTGTAACTTTTGAAAACACCATAAAACCTTTTCAGCAAGCTTTAGGGGTCTATGGTAAGTTTTTGCAATATGCATGCACTCTCCCATATGGAAAACCACAGGACTGGTAAATCTAGAACAAAAGAATGGTATTTTTTTAGGACCACAATTTTAGTACCTCATACCAGACACAAGAAGAAAGAAAAAAAAAAGTTACCTGCACACTATCTCCAATCCCTGTGCACATTTTAACCTCTTAAGGACGGCTTTGTATGCCGTCCTTAATGAGCGGAACCTAATGCCGGCGGGTGGCATAGAACATCCTCACCGTCCACCCCACTTATCCGATCACCGCCGTTTCCCCACCTGCATTCGGCATTGCTCCCGTGACAGCCCAGACAGACCCCCCTCTGCAAATTAGGCCCTCGCATGCCATATGATCACTCTGAAAGAGAGGTAACATGGCCGCAATAGGCATCCATAGGCTGTCAGGCAGTTTCCCTGCTGCTGAAAATATATAAAAAAATATTAATAAAGCAAAATATATAGTGTATATGTATCTTATATATCTAATGTTATACCAAGTGTATTTGTTTTATTAATATATACATATTAATATAAAAATAGACTTGGAATTAAATTACACACATATATTATTATAAAATATAAATAATAAATAAAAATCTATATAATTTCATTCCAAGTGTATTTTGATAGGTTTTTACATTTTCTTCATAATGAATGTTTCATATATGAATAGTTCGTGTGAAATGAAAGCCCTGTTTCTCCTGTACAAAATGATATATAATAAGTGTGGGTGCATTTCATATGAAAAAAGGTGAATTACGGTTGAACAGACATATAGCGCAAATTCCAGTTTTTGTTTACATTTTGTTTTGATCACAACGTACAACTGGCTCAGTCCTTAAGGGCTAATAACAAAGTTTTTAGTACTGCTACAATGCTCATTAAAGTATGAGGTCACCAACCAACATAAAGGAAAGCCTTTCAGGTGGGTCCATAACTATCAATTCACCTTACTGCTTTCAGCTACAAGGCTAATAATGAGACAGAAGGGGTACTCTTATGAACCTTTAATAGGGCATAATTGGGGTGAGCGGCAGCACTAAAACATTGCTGTGTAATACAAAAGAAAGTAAAAGCAAAGCAATGAGCCATGCAAGAATTGTGATACCTTTTTATTAATGTCTTTTAATTGCTTTTTTAATGTTTATGTCAGAGCCGTCTAGATAAAGGTTTGAATGCTATGTATCCCACTAAGGCAGATCATGGCCTACAGGTTAATTAAGATCTTCACAAGAACAGAAATGCTTTCATTAACCACCAAATATATAGTTCATCTCTACTAAATTATAAGTTCTAAGTTTAATGTGTATTGAATTCCAAAAGAAATCATAATACAGAGATATTTGAAATCAGTGTAAAAGAAAAATAGACAATATTTTAATAAGTCATGTTTTATTATAAAAATATACAGGTATAAAAATATAGAATTTAGCAGACATTTGTCTCTCAGAATGACATATGTTCCAGTATTTACAGATGTATTACCCCCTGGGGTAAAGTTATGAAATGGTCAATAACAGAAAACTAATTTCAATCTTTACAAGTAGATCAATCACATTGGAAACAAACAGAATGTTTTTTCAAATTTCACTGCATTCTATAGGGATTGTTCCACTTTTAGAATGTTGTCCCAATCTGGCAGCTCTATGCTGATGTGCAGAGATACCAAAGCCCACTTTGATAATCTTTGCGATATCCAGCATTGGCAAACCCTTCCTTGGATTGTAGGTAACAAACAACAACCCTTATCACAGTATTTACAAATTGAATCCAACACTAAAATGTGCATGGTCAAAAATGATAAATTTACAGTGCACCAAGAATGCAAATCATTCCACATAAGAATTCCGCAGTCTTCAGCCTTCAGTATATCAAGTTCTTCTTCAATTTGTAGATATTGTAAATTACCCTTGCTTTGAAAGATGATTTATCACTTTTACGTTCCTATGGAAAACATCATATGAAAGATTAGTTACTAGTATCAATTTAATATTTCACTATAGCTTTATTTCACCATTTAAAAAATAAATTATTTATCAGTATGATATAGTTTTAATTTTTATTGACTGGACACCAAACTCCCATTGTATTCCCCATAGTGACAATTTACAGAAAACAATCTTTTCTTACAAAATAGAACCTTGATTTAATTAAAGCAGCACGGGCTGGAAATAGATAGCTGTGATCATTTTTGTGAATTAAAACAAGTGTGAATCATTAGGTGATGCGTGTTGTCTTATAATGTTTTTATTACAGATTAAAACACAATTTTCTATCAAACTATACTTACTTTTTCTTTCCAGCAATGATTTCCTTTACCAGTTTTATGTTGGGATCAATGCAAATTATACTTTTTTTCTTGCCGGATTTCATGGTAGCCCTAAAACAATAATAATATGGATATTAAAATTAGCAAATAATATGAAACCAAACAAAAAATAGTAGAAGATGGGTGACTTATTTGCTTCTATATTATGGAAGCATGCTGTGTTTTAAAGGAAAATGTATCACTAAAATACTTTTCAGATTATTCTAATATAAAAACATTGATCTTTGTAATATTCAAAGATGTATATCCAATACATTCTATGCTCTGCCTTAACATAATTTATTGCAAATATCTATTAAAGTGTGTCGGTGAAAGTGATTTAAAAGATCTATGATATAGTCTACATCTGGACATTATAATTAGTCATTATACAAGTGCCTCGTAAGGATTATATTGACACCTGGAGGACCCAAGGGGTTTTGTGACGTATCACGGAATTGTAGTGAATTTAATATCAAATTACAAAATTCAGACAAAAAGTGCTGATTGGGAAAAACCTCCAAAATGTCTAAAACCACAGCTCTGCTCTGCTATTTTAGCTTGAATTTTGCCACTTGGATATCACTTCAGTACATGAATGGACTTTACTGAATAACCCTGAAACTGTCTGGCTGACCAGAATACCCTAAGAACAGATTTAGAAAATTATACAAACGTCTGCAATATGTTTTGTTATTATGGAGATAACTTGTGCACTAGCACGCTATAGCTGTAGAATACATTCCTAAATGGGTCTGTGATTTTTGTCTTAGACACCCGAGTAATCCCTAAATCCTGGACTGTTTGGTGTGCCTTGAGGAGAGGGTTAAGGAGCACTGCTTTACGCTGTAGAAGTGGTGGAATAATTTGGCACTTTATATGTGTGTCAACAGTAATAAAGCATCTTAGGACATATAGCTGAAAAGCATCAGCAATAGTGAGCCATCACTTTGCTAAAACACTTTTACAGGGCTATTTTCTAAACTGTGAATAGTGAGGAATTCAGAGTGGATTTAAAGTGAAATTTTAATTTTAGACTAAAACAGCCAAATGAAAAACATTTTGAAAGGTTCGACTGTTTTACCTTTAAATTCACTTTAGTGTAAAAAAACCTCATTATTTTCTATATTATCATGACATTATCATATTGTTAAGATGTTCGATAGCTGACATTCACAATAATACAATATTTACTTACAGAACTTCGATATTTGAACAAGTTGCGCTTTTTGGAAAAAGTTCAATTTGTGAAACTTTCTTAAGCTTCAGTTTCTTAACCGTTTTCTCACACAGACAGCGTTGTCCTTGATGGGGGTAAGCAAATCCTTGTGGGAAAAAAAACAAAAGATAATTAAATAATTGCCTGTCAAAAATACAATGAATATAATTGCAACAAAATTTGCATTGTCAAAGGTTTTTTTTTTAATGTGTTACCTTCTGTTAGAGCTGCAGAGATGAGCAGAACACACAGGATTGTCAGATATTTGCTTTCCATGTTAAGATCTGATTAAAGACTCTGCTTATGAGCTGGCTCAGTCTCTTACTTGGAGGATTGTTAGAACCTTTATATACTTACACAGCTTGGGGATTTTTTGATTTTATGACATCACTCATTGAGCAGCAGGAATCGCGTGTTGTAACACTTCTACGTTTCCTGGAAAAGTTTAGATTTTAGGAAAGCTCCATGTGAAAGTGAAAGTAAAACTGCTGAGTATTTGAAAGTAATACTGCAGACATTTGATCCATTCTCTGGCTGTCAGCAAAACCTTTATTCAACTACAACGTTCCTTTTATAACCGAACCATTTCAAAGAAATAACTTTCCCCAGAAGGAGAACTTCCTAAAAGTGAACTGTAGTTAATTGAAACCCAAATGACAGTATTTAAGATAATATATCTACTTTGTGACTAGACCTTTTTTGGAAAATGTTTGCATATTAACTATTTGTAGCGGATGGCACTGGGCTGTCCTGAAAATGTCTGTGAAATAAATGCATTCGTGTGATCTGTTAGTTTCCTATGTGTTTTAAAGCCTTGTATTCTTGTGATTGTTCGGTAGTTTCGTTCCCTTAGTTTATTCGAATGAAACTACCGAACAACCAGACCTCCCCTGTGTGAAGTGTGTCCTCAATTACCCGTTGCAACATTGTTGCGAACGGGTAATTGAACAGTAAGTAGCCGTCCTTTGTTCTCGGGGGTGGCCGCCATTCGACAAACGAACACGTGGCGGCGGCCATTTTAAAACTCCCGAACAGCGGTGTTTAGCCGTCGAGTGTCTGGAACTAAAATCGGACACTCGAGTAGGCGAACACCGCTGAGACCTCCACAGCCCTGGTCCGTTCGGTTCCAAACTACCGAACGGCCCCTCGTTCGGTAGATAGAGAATACCGAACGAGGGGATTCAGGCGAACCCTCCCTAGCCTCTATAGCTAGAGGTTTTCGTGTATTTTATTCCCTTATGCCAGGACCGACCGCAGGGCCCATTCACATGGAACCGAATTCGGCTATCTCAGTTCGTGCGGTCGGTCATTTTATTCCCTCCATACTTTTCCCGAACCCCTGGTCTGATCTGGGTGGTTTTTGGATATGTTGTTCACCCAGATCAGGGCTACCAGGGGATGTAGGATTTAAAGAGGTACCCCTACGTTTAGGGGTACATCCAGAAACGGGGGGAATTGGTGTACTGGATAAGGGGATTATGATGCTGGCTGAGGGGAGGAGATGTGTGGGAGGTTACCAGGACAGGATTGGCTACTGTAATAATTACTGTAATCCCTCCCTTGCATGGGAGCATGCTTTATAAGGAGACTGTGATTAAAGGCTTGTCAGTTCTGCTCCTGAAACTGTGTGTCGTCCAGTTATTGGGATTGCTGTGGGGAGGTTGCTGTTATTTTACCTGCTGGAAACTTTGCCTATGGATTTATTATTTACTTGTTCCTGAGCCTCACTTGGATTATAAGCGGAGACAACCTGGGGAATATTGCATCTCCGCTACACTATTATCTCCAGTTTTGCAATTTGTTTTAAAAATAGTTGAATTTCGTGTTCATAAAAAAACTGCAAATTGTAACCGTTACATAACATTTTTATAACAAGTCTAAATAATAAAACAGAATGACTAAAATGTTGCCAGTGCATCGCCTATCCTTAATCCCAGAGTGAGCATATCATTTGCCAATTCTCTCTCTTTCCCACAGTGCCTTTATTTCTCTTATATAGTTAGAAATGCAGAAAGTTAGTAAATACGTAGCTGCAAATAAATAAAAATTCCATATTTCAACTATGAAGTATCCATGCTTTGATCAAAACAGGCATACCCTTCCCTCTCCCTTGAAAAAAAACTTTCTCACAATCCTTCTGCTGTTTATTTCATTAAAATGCTTCATTTGCTGTTTATACACATTGAAATTTGCCAGACTGTTTATGCTGCCTATGAGACCATATGGTAGACCAGGAATGAAAATTAACCCATGATGGCATACCATTTGCAAAAATATACAAACACAAAGATAAAGCACTGCGCTTACAGCAGCAGTAGCTTAGTATCCAACAGCTTAAAATACATAGTAAAAACAAAGAGAATGTTACCTGCACTCTGGCTTAAATCCCCATGTACATTTAAACAAAATGGAGGCTCTTTAGTTTTATTCCAATGGCCATTTGAATATATAAGCTCACCTGCCACGTCAAGGCAAGCCTCAAAAGGTGAGTCCTACACTAGCCATTAGATATGCTGATATCAGCCAAGAATCTCCAGTGAGACAGGAAGGGGTATTTTATAAACCCTTTCACATTTAACCCTTTATAGGGCTTCTACACATAAAATAAACTTTGCTGGTATCAGACAAAGTGTAAACATCTCTAATGAGATATGAAGGGGTGTTTTATAAACCCCTATATAGAAAACCCATGTTTGTCTCATTAAGAGTTTATAAGTATCTAGGGGCAAGTATGTAGGGGTCTGACCCCGCAATCACATGGCGCAGGAGGGCCGAATCAGACAGAGGGATCGTAACCGCCGGCATAGGACTGACGGGGACCCGGTAAGTATGAAAAAGCCAGGGATGTTCTATGCCGCCCTCCAGCGTTTCGGGACACCACAAAAAGGACGGCATAAAACACCCGCCATTCTTACAGGGTTTACTTTGCGATGTTGCATTGCATTGCATTGTTTACATTACAGTATTAATACTGCCTGCAGTGGCTGTGAGCATGGCAGCATGTGTGTCGTGTGTATTTGTATGTTGCCATGTGATTCTGAATGAATTGGCATCTTTCCTAGTATCTACACATTGTTGATCTCCACATCTGCTCCCATCCTGTGTATATTCCTCTCCTTCTTTCTTTTATTTGTATCTTCTTCTTCCTTCATGCCCACATGCATCACTTCTTATCTCCTATTTGTCACACTCAGTCTCTTAACACCCTAATATCTCCTTCATACACTCTCTTTCACTTGTGTGTCCCTCCACCCCCTTGTGATATGAGGTACATTTACTGAAATCCCATATGTCAGAAATTGTATGCATGCAGTCACTCTGACTGGCCCCAGTAAAGATTATGTGCTTAATACTGGGGCTTATGGCATAGTGCAAATGTATCATTAGCTATGCTTTCTTGGGACAGTTTTTTTTTGTTCCTAAGAGCTGGATATGACAGTTCAGACCCAGGACTGCAAGACAGGAGCCCAACATTGTTACTGTCTTACCAGAATCCGAACATTAAAGAAGCCAGGAATAGTGCAATTGTCATGATAAATAGAACAGCACTGGAATTTGGAGGTACAGTTGAGGAACTACATTGTATTATAGTACACAGACTTGTTACTGAATGTGTTAAAGCAGCAGCATACATTTTTTTTCGGGGAATAAATAATCAAATATCTAATTATTTCATAAACCCTAATGTATTCCTGAAAGAAAAACTAACTATACAGTGTCTAGCCCTTCTTATCTATTAATGGTTCTTGAACCAGTTAGTTGTCCACTCCGTTGGAGGTTGACTATAGCTAGTTTACAGAAGACTTCATAAACACGTGATATTACTGATTCACTATTTAAAATGTTATTTGATATTCAAGTAAGAAGCACATGTTGTGACTGGGTGTATCTGAAGAGCCTACAATATTGTTTTGACTGTTATATATGTAAGTTGTTAATTAGAGCAAATTAGAGCCTAATTAATTGGCTCTTTCAAGTGAGTGCATTTAAAATATTATATATTGCATTTGCATATCAGTATTATGCTATGTTTTCCTCTTTCTTCCTAAGATAATGTTGCGGAGTGGCAGATCTCTTTGAGAGGAGTGATCATCAAATAGACCCAGAAGTACGTATAGCTAGAACTTGTTTACAAGCTCCAGCACGTGTGAGTGTTCCATTGTTTACTTTATTTGTAATTATTACGAAATGGTATTACACTATACCAGTGGTAGGCAGCTTTCGACAGATTTTGTGGACTACGTATCCCTTTGATATTTTGTGAGCAGTATGACTATAAGTGCATTATGGGAGGTGTATTCCACAATATTTGGAGTCCGATGTTGCCTAACAATGCATTATACTATACTTTTATTTTAAAGGCACAAATACTGCATAAGAAAAAATAAATATAAAGATAAGTGTCAATTCATTTAATAATCATTAATTTTTATTGTTGTGTTGTATTGGCATTATACATTAAGTGTAGTAGCAGCTATTTATGGAGCACAAACCAAGAAAGTTATGGTGGGGAAAAAGGTGATTGAAAACCTCTTCCACTTGAAGTCAGACGATAGTCAATACATTGTTAAACCCAGTTCTGCACATACCAGTAAGCCATAAGTCTTATGGTTTGACTGGAGTGTGCAGATCTGTGTTTAACAATGGATATTGACTATCTATTTTTAGATATTTAAGCATATAAGTCACAATTGCAATTATATCTAAAATAAGTGTTTGGCATGATTATATTTTGGTCCTTATAATGTCAAAGTCTTCAGACGTAGCCGTTCCTCTGTAATCACCGCGAGTCATCTACTTGCTAGTCAAATATCACTCTTTTAAATAAAGTTTGTTTGATAGTTATGTGTCCTTCATCCTATCACTGGAGAAATCCATGCCAGCATTACTATTTTATTACATAATTTAATTGTTTTGGGTACCATTTAGAAGCAGGAGACAAATGGAGACATCTTAAATTGAACCACATCATTTTTATTGAACTTCATTAAACAGCAGTCTTTAAAGATTTAAAAATGTTTGATCTTTACAAAAACAAACAGTGAACCATTTCATATATCATAATATTACATATATGTATCTTCAGTATGCACAATGTGAACCAATCACTAGGACTCTAATTAATGCAGGTCTATTTTAACGGTATTTGTTACAAAGAATTATGTAAGCATAGCTTAGTTTGTACATGACAGTAAATAAAAACATTTATGTCTGTATAAGTTAGTTTATTTCCATAAAACTAAATAAATTAAATTATTACATGTGTGTTAAGTCATACAAATGTACATATTTACATTATGATAAAATACAGTGATGTATGCGTAGCAAGCTGCTCCAGTCATCTTTGTTACAATAGCATGGGCATACATTTCTTCAATTCTCCTTAATCTTAAAGGTGATTGACAATTTTAACACCTTTAATATTCCTATTAAGATAAGATACA